CCACTTTGGGAACCCCTCAAGTGTACTACGTAATCGAGTGGCGCCGGAAGACCGTTTAAATGCATGTTAAATGCCCATTATTCAGCGCCACTCGATGACGTAGTATACTTGAAACAGTGGCTCTGCAGCAGGTATACTCGACATTGAGAAACGGCCTCTGAGTCTCAGTCTTTCAGTCCCGCCTCAAAACCCATCTCTTCATCTCCGTCTACCCATAAGCCCCCCTCTCAATGAACTTCCCCTTGACTGCCTTTTTTGTTTGTTTTTTTTAATCTATTTTGTTTTGCCTGTCCGGTTGTTTACCCTCCCTCATTCTGTATAGTTGAGTTGTAGAAAAGCACTATCAGGGCTCATACACTTTTTCACCAATGACCTTTACCTCATTTTCCATGACCAAAAAAATCACTCAGCGGTACCACTGAAACATTTGTATTTTAACATGGTAAGCTGGAAAATAAGGTCTGCATATGAAACATGTTGTGCCTATCTAAAACAAAATAAAATAGTAGGCTTACTAGCTCCTACAGACTAAAGCTACTGGAGACTAGAGGACGTGATTGTAAGGAAAATACCTGGTATTTTCCTTACAATCACGTCCTCTAGTCTCCAGTAGCTTTAGTCTGTAGGAGCTAGTAAGCCTACTATTTTATTTTGTTTTAGATAGGCACAACATNTGAGGATGTCGAGTAAAGTAACGCACTGTAGGTGAGCGCTTCAGATGAGGCTCCATCCGCAAAATAAAGCACCCTCCGCAGTCTGTGTGATCTGGGGCGGCCCTGCGAGTAAAGTAACGCGTTCCTTTATATAGAGAGTAACGAAGTAAAGTCATATATTACTTTATTTTTTAAGTCATATGTAATGACCCCATCTCTGCACACAAGTACAATTATTACAATCAATTGAATTTAGTATTATTAATTCATTATGCATTCCTTAATTGTAATGCTACTGCAGTTTCCCAGAAGCCAAAGTGTCATCACAGCACATTCAAAGAGGTTCCCTTTAGAGGGATATAAACCTGAAGAATGAACACCTATTTGAAAAGCTTGCAGTAAATTGATCCTTCCATCTTCGCAGGCCTGGACAAGTTGGAGTTCCTGCAGGGCCACGAGAACCAGGAGATCTACCAGAAGGCCTTCGACCTGATCGAGCGCTACTTCAACACCGAGGACGAGGACCCGGCTCTGGCCCCGGCCGTGGACCTGCAGCAGCAGCAGTTCCTCTTCCAGCAGTGCGAGGCCCCCATGGAAGGCTTCCAGCTATAATGCTAAAAACCCTTTCCTCCCCATGTGCTCCACCTCCATCCTCATCTCTCTCTCTCTCTCTGCCCACTGCCACGATCAAGGGGTTTGGATGACCCCTCCCCTCCCCTCCTGAGATCCAATCGTAACCATGATTATGTGACGTTGCAGGAGCGTGTGCGAGTACGTCTGACGTGGGTGGAGTTCTGCGGTCCTGTCAGCCAGTTTGTGAAGGTTTCACCCATTCTCACGTCACCCTGAACCCTCACCTTCCCGCTCAGCTGATTGTCCTCGTAACACCCCCCCCTCTCCCGTCGTACTGTTAGGATTCCCTCAGCCCCCCCCCTAAATGAAAAGCACTCTTCCTGCCCCGGTGGGAGTTCGTAGGACTGCACTGCTTGTCTGATTGAAGCATTAATGACTCACAAGACAGACAAACATGGACGTGATTTTTTTTTTCTTTACCCCGCCTTCCTCACATGGAGAAGAACGATGTAACCTAAACACTGGACTGACCATGAGACGTTGACCACATGTGACTGTGGTCTTTGGACTGAGCTGCCCACAGTACAACCCACGGACTCAACTGACCTCTACTAAAGGCACTTAGACCCCCCCATAAAGGAGGTGTTTCCCCTCGCCTCCTCTGGATAAGCCACCACAGGGAATTAGGAACTTGACCGTCGCTGAGGGGCGGAGTTTGGCTGCTTGCGTTCCCTCTTGGAAACCATATCATGCATTCTTTTGATCCAGTCGTGGGTCTTTCCACTTCATGTGACGTCATTCGCCCTGTGGATTCACGGGAATTGGAGTCTTCCCTCGCACTGAGACATTTAGACAGACTTGGACAAAACAGACTGTTTAACCCCGGGGTCTGTCCAGCAGCAGAGCAGCGGGATATTTTATTTTTTATTATCTTACCATAATTGCATTTCCTTTGCAGCACTTTAGTTCTGGACTGACGCCTGCTCTACGAGAACATACCGTCGTTTTATTGCGTTAACTAGTTCATTGGTTGATGACGCGGCTCTTCCCTCCTCAGGCGTAAAGGAGTCCGGATGCTCGGTCCCCTTCTGGTTTCACAAGGATTACAATGAAATGTTCTGACTGTTCCTACAGGAAGGACTCGTTGTGGACTGAAAACTCCTAGCACACTAATTACAATCAGTAGATCATGCTGCCTCGGCAAAGCTAGAAGAACTGTATTGTAAAGTAAGTCTTGGAAAATGGGCTGTTTAGCTGCGCAGTCTAAATGTCTTTCCGACACATGTTCAGGTAGTATTTTCCAATTTGATCATGCCAAATCATCAATGCCAGCTATTGGGTCTCAAATTAGTCTTTTAAAGAAAAAGCTATTATTTGTTTAAGTTGGGTTTAGCATCTGTCTTGTTGCTGATGGTGCCATAATCCTCATTCTACAGGAACTCTTCCAGATGATTTGATGACAGCTCCAGATGAAACACACCCTGGAGATCACCTTAGTTAGCAAAGCTGAATGTTTGTTTACCAAGTCCTCCTAACATTGCTTACTTTTATCAAATCTCTGCAGGAGATGACCAGCTCTACATGTTAATTACTGTTTGTTGTCTTGAGTTTGTGCAACTGTCCCCTGTTATGCCATTTGCATAAAAGCTGTTTCATGAACCTCAGTGTTAGTGGATCCGTTTTGTTGGAGTCTGTGTGCAGGGTGAGTCTTTCCATCGGGGATAGCTTGGTCCAAAACAAGGTGAAAAATAACTTGGTTTAGAGTTGGAGTCTACATATAATAATAATACATTATAATTATATAGTGCAGGATTCCTACGGTCATTGAAAACCTGGAAAAGTCATGGAAATTCAAAATGCTAATTCCAGGCTCTGGAAAAGTTATGGAAAACAATATTTTTCCCAAAGTTTTGGAAAAGTCATGGAAATGTAACTAAAGTTGCATCAAATATAATTTGTATTTTAGCTAATCGCCGGAATAGTAATACTATAATGAT